CCCTTAACATCGTCATGTATGTCAAGGTTGCCATAGTCATAAGTCAATTTTTGGACGAAGTATAAGTAAATAGTATGTAGCATCGTATTAAATGAGATTAGATCTATAAAATGTTACCTAAAACACACAAATTGTAGTAAAATGGGTAAACATTTGTTTTCTTCTAAACAATTAGTTTTGGTTTAAAGCACCACATAAAGCCGTTTAATATAAATTTATTGGGTTGTCCGGAAAATAATGCAGGATTTTAAGTTTTCATTAAAAAAAATCTATATAAAATATTCTGTTTACGTTTACAGGATTACTCATTTGTATGNTGGGAAATTATTTTGATTAAAGAACATTGCTTTAAAGTAACTAGTTTCTTTTTTTTTGTTTAATACCAAAATCCTGCATTATTTTCCGGACAACCCAATAGTAATCACTAATTATGTTTATCAGTATATACGATAACCATACTCTCGCTAGCTAAGTACAATAAATTAGAAGCAACTAGGTTAAAAAAATAACGAAACAGGTGATATTCGTTTTTTACACCCCACAATAACCTAAATACAAATTTTGGAACAAATAAAAAAAAAGATGGCCTCAAATTTTTCGCTTTCCAAATACTTTCGCTTTTTCCTCTAAAAATGGTCATAAATTTTAAACAATCATACCGATCTGCAAGAAACTTTACAATGGTTTAGTGGACTTTAACCAGTACGTTGTCACAAAAACAAGCTTTCAGTTAAAAATCAGAACCGTAAAAAAATAGTTTGGAGAGTTTTCCTTGATTTCATCCGTATTCGTTCACTTATATGACATAAAACCAAATTATAATGACTAGTAAACTTGTTAGAAGTTATGTTTGGAATAATGCGGGGGGGAGTTGTCAGGTTATTAAAGGTGTCCATTTGGGGAAGTTGGAATATATACCAGTAGCTAAATTTCGACTTACACAATATTTTCATGTAATGATTACCACCTATTTCAACATGAAGCCAGTTTGAAATTTTTAACATAGACGTTTGAAATTTACTTCCTGCGGAGAACCAGTGGGCTTTAATCCTGCAGACAATTTAAGGAGGTCACTGTCGGTGTGGGAGTCATTTCTCACGCGAAGAAACAACACAGCTATCCCTTGAATATTTCAACATTGAATAAATTAATGTTTTAAGTCTGTATAACTCGAAAACGTTCCTGTTTTTCTCTAAGGGATTGACTACTTTCTTCCGGTATTTTTGCAGAAATTGTACTTTCACAGCAAGGAGCACGGTGGAATTTGGCAATTTTTAAAAGAATGCTAAGCTCGTACGTCTCTTTCACGCATGCCTACCTTCTGGGTATTTTGAAAAAATTGAAAAATTGTCAAAATTGTTTGTCGAAATTAGAAAAAATGGTATATTTATAAATGATAAAAAAGGTGGTAATTAATACAGTGACTTTTTTTTACACCATTACATTATTTATATCATAATCAATAGACTACTTCCCTCCACTCTCCCACTATCAAGCGTGGGCAATTTATGTACATTCAAATAGTTCCAGTTTTCTACTCATTTCATTTTAATAGTGGACAATTATGAACAAAAATATATAATTGATCAAAATAACTATTATATAAAACTCAGTATATAAGTTCAAATTCATTCAAAAATGAATACAGCTATTTGTTCTTTATTCTTATTCTATTAATTTTAATTAAATATAATAATTAAAATATTCTGGTTACTTGGATAAACAAAATAGAAAATACAAACCAAAACCAAGCAAATGTTGAAGCCAACCTCACCGCTGTCCAAGAAATTACCTAGGAATGCCTCAAACCAGGAATCTGAATGGCAGGGATTTTCGATTTGTGGATGACATTGCCAGACCTCATAGAGGCAGAGTTGTCCATCAACGTTTAATAAAACTGAGAATTTCCCATCTGCCCCTCCCCCCTCATTGTTTCGAGACATCAATCCTATTGAGCAATTGTGGGATGCGTTGCAAAGAAGACTTTTCGGTAACCATCCTCAGTCAGTTGACCTGCAACAACTGTGTGCAGCGTTGCAATATCTATGGAGTGAAATTCTTTATGAATTTAGTGACAACCTTATTAACAATATGCCTGACAGTTGCCCAGAGGTTTTAGCTAACAATGGACATTATACACGGTATTAATTGTCTTAAACAAAATATCCAATAAACAAATTTATGAAATTAAAACCTATTATTTTGTTATTTTTCGAAGTCCGTTAACTAAATTTTCCTTAAGAAAAAACAGTAATTTCTAATAAATTTTAATGAAATTTACAATAAACATAAAATAAAAATGCTAGGGACAGTAAATAACAAAATTGGCAATATCCCTATTTATTTTGGGTTTTACTATAATTAATTATCATTTATAGTAATTAATTTTACAGATTAATTGATATGTTCTTAAGGTTGAAGTTTTAATCGATGTATTCTATCCATTTTACTATTCAATATTCAAATCCAGCCTGCATTGCTTGGTCTTGATATCTTTGGTCGTAAATAATAAATTCAAGAGCCACTCTAGAACTCTTTTTTACTTCCGAAAATTTTTTATTTGTGTACAACACAGTTTCTTTTGTAAATAATTTATACATATTTCAAATGGAAAATTAATAAAACAACTTACCAAACTGTCATTGTACGATATTTTGATCTATAATTCAACCACATAATGTTTTATATTAGTTAACTGATTATTTTCATTAAATTGACATTAACGTGACTTTGTACCCCTTACACTCTATCCAGCTTTCTATAACTACCAAATTTGATTGTTGCGAACATAAATAAATTAATTATTTATAAACCAACATAAATTTGGCCTGCAACGTAAAGTAATTTAAATAGCCTACTCTTGTATTCAAAATTTATAAATATAAGCTGTTTCTAAATTTTGTTTATCTTTGTCATAATATAATTATAATAATAACAATAATAGCATGTATTATTATGATTACTATTATTATTTTAATAAAAGGAAAAATAATAAATAAAAGGTACTTTTTGGGATACAGAATTTATTCATACCAATTATTTATTTTTAAATTTAGATTTACACCTTTTTTTAAATTCATTAGAGTTCGTGGTCCGATTGACCGAATAATATATTTCAATTAATTAATATTTATGTATGGTATTGGCTGAGATAAAAATTTTTTAATGTAATCTTCGAACATAAAATTTACAAAAAAAAGAAAAGGTGCTCTCCTTAAGCAAATATAAAAAAAAACTTAAAATATAATTACCGAAATTAAACCTATTATTAAAAATAAGTGAATTAAAATTTATCTTTGCGCAACCCCAAAGGAATACAATTAAGGAAATATGGAAGGAGGAAATAGGAAACTCACTCGTTGAATTCTCTTTTCTTGATGTTCTCTGGACCAGATCATTCTTCCCAATAAAAGTTGAAGTAGCCAACTGCGAGGTGGTCTGTCCGCAGTTTCGAGATGGAATCCCCCTGTTATTCTGCCTTTCAGCCTTTCTGGACTCTTGTCTCCCACAAGTTCCAAAGTTCATCGTTTCCATTAAGTTCATTTTGATTTGTTTGTTATATCATTATCAATAATGGCAATATATAATTTATAAATTTAACTTAACTTTGTGATAAAGTCCAATTGTGTCTATATGAAAAAACCCTCCACATAGGCAGGCTTTTATCAAAAACTATTAAATCAGATTGATAAAATTTGACGTGCATGTTTTTGGATGACTAAAGTGAGTAATTTTATAACATTTTTTGCTAAGAATTTCCATTTTGGAAAACACTGTCAATTTTCCGAACTTGAAACTGTTGTTTTTTTCACATAAACTATATTGTTTTTTCTTATTATTAATTCTTTACCTTTATAGAGGTTAAGGAACTATCGATTTCACTGTAGAACAGTAGAACCTCAGTAGAAGCTTTTGGAGCTTGAGTTTCCGTCGCTTTTTCGTTTTAACTGTGCATCGTTTTATTTTATTTTATTTTTTTTTGAGAAGGGACGTGTAAAATGTCTAAAAATTAATAAAAAATTTTACCAACACCTTTGTTCAAGAAGCCACCATAAACGCACGTGAATTGTGCATTATAACCAAAAGGAAGGGGGAAATTTTAAAAAAGTTATGTTTTTAATATATATGAACAGTAAAAATATGGGATGCGTTGAAAAGAAGCCTTTTCGTTAACCATTCGTACCAGATGACCTGCAACAAGCGAGTGCAGGTTGCAACCTACAAAAATTTGTATATATGTCGTGTATATTTGTGTCTGTATTTGTAATTTTATATTTACGTTTCTATTTACATTTGGTAAATATTTGCATAGTTTTTGGAAAATATTTATAGTTTTTTTTATCAGTTTTCATTTTTTATGTTTAAATGTAAGGTGTTATCTCTCCTTACTGTTATTCTCACTGGGCATTTATTTTTATTTTAATACTTATCTATTTATTTGGTTCGTGTACGAACTAGTATTAATCCCGAGAACTTCAGGCTTAATCTGTCTTTTAATAAACATTTTATTTGGGTGATATGATTGTTAGTTTTTAGTCTGAACTGTAATTGAACATAGGGTGAAGGCAAATTTTCCCTGAATTTTCTCCTTTTGATCAAACGGTGAAACCTTCAACGCCATCAATGCTTAGTTGAGCTTAATTGGAAATAAGAGAATCAGTATTTCTCTTTTGGATAAATTAAATATTAGAATTACAATTAGTGCGTAAGACGATAAGGGTTAAAACAGACCGCTTGGAATTTAAATGAACGAAATGCCCTTTAACGTTTTATTCAGAATGCCGGCCAGTAATTATGTTAATACCGATGAATTCACCTTGTTCTGGAAACGGACCAAACTTGACATGTCCCTCATTTAATGAAATGATAACAACGTAATTATTTTATTGTTTTATGTTTATAATCTGTTGTCATTTTATGTCTGTGGTTTCTCAAACTGAATGTGGTCGTTACCATCTCAATAAAATAACTGCATTTGAACTAATTGTAATCACCTGGTTTTTATGTTAATTTTAAAGTTAATTTTTTGTTAATATAAACAAAATAATTTCATTATTTACGGAAATCTAATTATGCTTAATTAATATGATATTTGCATTTGCGTTCCAACCCAATGGCTGTGCCTGTAGAATTATATACACATACACGTGGTTAAACAAGCAGTTCATTTATACTAATTAACAGCTGAATGCTGCTCACCCTTCGATATTATTTATACAGAGAGTCTTGTGGGCGTAAGCCTTCTGGCGTTGCGTCGTGGTGGTCTGTTCCAGCTGCATGCCTCATGAGGGTGTTGCGGTGGTTATCGTTGCTATGGGAGTTTCTCATAGGCCTCTTTTATTATGATGGTAATAGTAGATATTTTGAGGTTCTAATGGAACGCCGAGTCGAGTACAAACTGTAGCGCAGCGTATTTTCAAGATTGTATTGTGGGTTGTTGTGACCTCTGCAGGTGAGATTGAGAATAATCCAATTTTGACAAACAATAGAGAAACTGCATAACGTTTCCACTATTTCATCATCACCGTTATGCGTAGTCAACAGCATTGACGCTATTTGAAGATTTTGTAGCGGATTTTGTCTAAGTTTCCAGGGGAGTTTGTTGTAGTTCAGGTTATAGTTGTGTCTTACAAGCATGTGAACAAATGCACCGTTCACGGATGTTATAAATGCTATTCCAGATATCATTTCGTTAAATCTGAGTGTGCTCATTTCAATCAATTTATAGTTACCGTTATGCAAAATCTCCCTATTGATAGCTGTAGCAGTCCTTAAATTGCAAGTGTTAGGGAGTATCTGCTATAGGATTTGTTTGATTCTATAGGATGGTGATAGTGCTGAATTATTCTACAGTGTAAGCCCGAATTAGATTGCTATCATTCGCGTATTATCAGCCAAAGTTGGAGCTACAAATACCACTGTATGTAGCCATCTTAGAATACTTAGAACTTAGTGTCCAAAACATCTGGTGAACTTTAGTTCTTTACGATTTGTCGGTTACTCTAGTTAAACTTGTCGATGTGTGTACAAATCCTCTTCCTTGTAAAGAACCGATTATTAAAAAAAATCCTTGAAAGAGAATGTTCAAAAATTCTATCAACGTAGATTTAAGGGCAAGCCAAAATAGGAAGCATTTTATATTCTTTATTGACACTGAGCTCTTTCACCCATAGCTTAATTATGTAGTTTTCTAAATGAAATCGCATAATTTGATCATTCGTTATAAAGGATGAGAGAAGGTAAATTTGTAAAATGGAAGTCTTGCAGTACTCTGCTTATATCCTTGTTACATACAAAAAATCTATATCGACTCTAAATTGGACGATGTTTAAAATGTGGGTAAAATAGGCCAATCAATTGCTTATAGTATACTCTGGAAATAAAAATACGTTAAGCATTATTTCCTGAATAAAATTGTTTTATTCAATAGGAAGGAATCTTGCTATGATATTGTATTTTTAATAATTTTAAATGAAATTTTGTTATTAACTACCAATCAGCAATAATTAAACATAAACTGTAAAATTATAAACTAAAGCAATAAACTGTAAAAACGTAAATACTCACCGTCTCATATTTGTGTTATCAATTTGGGTGCTGCAGTAACAATCGAATTGCCCGAACGTTCGTCCTTTCTTCCTTTTATGTTTGTACATTATTAGGGTCATCAAAATCTTGTTTTTTTAGTGTGATGCAGGTAGAAATCGACGGTGTGGGGCTTCCTTAATGGTGTTGCCGTCGCTGCGGTAGGCAGAACACGTCTGAAATGAAGGGTTTTGATAACATATCTTAAAAAGGAATCGAACTTAAAAAATGGCCCAATTTGTGAAGTAATTTGACCGTGATGAAATTAGGTACGTCCTTCTCAATTAATCTTAGGTAATAAAACCCTTTAAAAAATACCGAATACCATGAATAATTTGAAAAATTGACGAAATTCAAATAAATTTTTATTTTTACTTAATTACATTCTTTAAAGATATTTTTCTTTTAAAGTCTAAAAGAAATTTTGGCTTTTTGGAAAGAACAAATTGTCTACATGGAATCTAAAAAGGGTAAAATTGTTTTCACCCTGTCGTTTTAGTTCGCTTCTTTAATTGCTCTTGCCTGAATTAATTGCAGCGAAATACGCCCGCCTTTTAAGTCTTAAACGGTAGCTTTTCATGCCAATCAAGAAATTGGCATTGTTCAGTTTTAACGAAGGGAAATATTATATGAGAGGCGGCTCTTTCATTGATAAATAATAGCCGCATTATTCACCCACGAAAATTGAAAATTTTAATCACCGTTTATTCACTGAAACCTCTCCCGTCTACCAAAACTAGCCAAGCGATGCTTTCATCCAACATTCGTGTTAATTTACTTAAGATTATGATTTATTATAAACAAACATTAAATTCATGAAATAATTCGTATGTAGGAAATTAAATAAAATACATAATTACAACTTCGAAGAATTCATACCGAAAATTTTCTACAATAGTTATACTGTATTCGAACCGACAATCATTTCTGAATGTAAATATAATTAGTAAATAGTAGTAAAATTCGAAATTTAACATATACATCGTTTCCTTTTTTTGACCAATTTAAAATCGAATCGCGGCCTTGATTAATTTCATTGGGAAATATCTTTTAAAATGATGTGCATACCTGCAATTTTAAACTTTGCTAGTCCTGAGGTACACTGTTAACTTTTTTTTAAACAAGTCGAAATTTTCAACTAGTCTGAAAAATATTTAAGACGTATTTTTTTGATAATGATATATGTTCAAGATAAATTCAGGCGGGCCGTCTAAACTGGACATGCTATGTTTTATTATTTTGCCAACGATAGTAGGCAGAGGACCAAATTACAGGTTTAACTCACAGACTACACGAAAAAACCTCACATTTTAATTATTATTATAAGCTTACAAATAAATAAATACTGCAGTTGACTGCACATTTAAAAAATAAATCAATCAAAATATATATTATAATATTACAGTCTGATTATGGAAATAATGTAAAAATCGTATTAAGTCTGAATTGACTAAATTAGCCATAATTAGAATTTCCATTAAGTGTATGGTATGTTAAAATCAATAACGATTTTTTACAATTCGTTAAAATAAATTGTGAAATTACTGCGCTTGGTCGCGAGGTGATGAACCTGTAATTCGGTCGGTACTGATCATTTTGGTCTGTCCATGCCCGGTGTGTTAATATGTCAGACGCGGTTTAGCATTTCGCTATCTTCAATGTTGAATCTGTTTGTTTTTTCTGAAGCCATGTCTCTTTTATAATATAGTGAGGTGTTGGTGCCTTTAATGGATAAAGTTAGGAATTTTGTAATTGTTACGGTCGGTCTTAGGGATCATCGGTCCATTTTTTTTAAATGTTGGAAATGTGTGTGAATTGTGGTTGTTATGAGTTTTTTTAGTGTTAAATGTTATATGCAGTTTGTTAAAACTAAAAAATAAAAGAATATAAAAAAAACTTATGTTCATTTTTTCGTATTTTTTGGGTATGTCGTGATTCATGCTTTTGAACGGTTAGAGATGGTTTTCGCTGAGATCAGTTGCTTAGTATGGTTTATGTCATTGTCTTTTAAGGATCGTATATGTTCTTTGTATTTGTCTTTCATTTTTCCATCTGTCTATCCGATGTATTTATCTCGCATTCACACGCTATGGCGGATATGCCATGTTGTCTTAGTAGTTTTTCCGCAGAATGGATCCAAACAAAACAAAAGCAGAAGTGGATAAACTCTAGCGGTGCTAGACATAGTAAACTTATGATGAAACAACCCTCACCAAGACTGGCAAAAGCACTGCAGTAATTGGAGAGGGCCAAACTCAGAGGAGTGGTAGGACTACTAACCGGTCACTGGCATCTGAGAAAACATCTACAAAACATGGGTACATACAGCGATGATCCCATTTGCAGATTATGTAATGAGGAGGAGGAAACAGCCACTCATATCATCTTCGAAAGCGAAGCAACAGCTCATTGGAGATTTAACCTAACGTACGGAAAAAACTTAGGGAATCAAATTGCAGCAGCAACAGTCAATGACCTGATACTTCTAAGAAGAAGGATTGAGCCTACTAAGGGACTAGGAAGGTACAATAAGCCAGAAGGCTGCAGTGCGTGGGGAGTGCAAACCCCGCTTCCTAGTATCCTTTTCCCCATATCATACCATACCATAGTAGTTTTTCGAATATGTTCATGGTCTTCAGTGCTGTTTTAATGCCAAATGTGTTAAATAGATTCGTTAGATTGTACTTTTCTTAACTAATACTGCTCTTTTTTCTAATGAATGTAGTCCATTCAAAGTCTGTTTTTGTGTTGTCGTTTGGTTTACCATTTTGTTGATTTGTGTTTTTGATATAGACGATATTCGGGGCTGTCGTTTTTTTTATTGTTTTTAGTTTGTTTTCATATTTCTTTTTAATAATTAGTACTGTTAGTTAGTTTGCCTATCATGTATTTTAGTGCTGTCGTTTTCTGTCGATTAGGGTTATTTGAGTCGGCTTGTCACGCTGTTGATTTTCTGTATATGCCGATTTATAGTTTGCTGTCGATATTGGTGATGGTAGGTCGATAGTATTACAAAAACCTGCTGTGGTTTATAATTGACTAAAATCTCTGTGTAAAATATTACAATATACATATATGAATATGTAATTATATTTAACGTTATAAATAAATTTAAAATATGTACTTTGTATATATGATATAGTTTGCCGTCCTTTTTAGTCATTGTTAGAGCCAAGAAATTAATACTGTTATTGTATTCTAGTTCTGCTGTGAATTGTATGTTTCTCTATAAGGTGTTCAAGAAGATATAAAATGACATACGCAGACCCAAAACTGAAGATGGAGAAATGTTTAACCTAAAATTTGCAATAGTATTTTAAAACTAAATTGTCCAAATTAGTCTTATTTTAAATTTTTTGTAAGTTGTTGTTTAATATATTCAAACTAATAATTATGGGTTATAATTATTTAAAATAAGCCAAAATGTATTTATTGGTAATTATTGTAAAAACCAAAAATATTTTAACCCTAAGTGACCAAATTAGTCATAACTGCGAATTTTGACTGGGTTATTGTTTGATACGTTAAAACCTTGACAAATCATTTAAACGGCCTCTCGTCAAAACTGGACAATACCAATTTTTTCATTGGCATGAACAGCCCAATTAGTCAATAGGGAAACTGAAATTACAGCGGCTGGGCACAATTTTTCAAGCCTCATTTAATTTTGGAAGTCGGCCAGGCTCAGCCAGAAAAAAGCGGAACGCTTCGCCATCGAAGGATACTTTATGAATGAAGTACAATTATAGACGAAAAAATTTTCGTTCTGAAAGGACTAATTGTTTTTTAACATTTTTTAATTTGTAAAAATCTATTTCCCTACACAAATAAAAATATTAATCGAAAATTGTAAAACTTTCTTTAATTTGTCTAACAACTAATTACTTAGGCCTGAGGAATCGTAAAGGAGGGCCATACTGTGTGGACATAACAGAAACACTTTGTAAGCCCAACTCTGGCCCTTTCCTACCCATTACCAGTCGTAAAACGACCGGGAAAAAAGGGGTTTTGTCTGTTGCCGGAAATGTGTAAATAATGTTTCCTGATGTTTACACGGTTCCACTTTGAGAGTTGACCGAACTTTTCTTTGACAATGGAACGCAAATGACACGCCTTGAAGGATGCGCTGGGACGCACTCCTTTCTTTTGAATACCAAAATCGTTCTTCCCGTCTATAGTTAGTCATCGGTGAATAAAACACTGGTTAGTCACGATTTGAATTTCAAAACGCAAGTAATTTGTTGAAAAGTTAGAGAACTGTGGCGAAAAATCCGGTTAACTGTTGTCGCCTAATGGTTGTCGTTTTTCGAACGAGCGAAACAGTCAAACAAGGAACAATTAAGCGCTAGGAGGGTTAAGTCGTAAGAAAAACAGACTTACATGAGTCTAACATATTCTACCGCTAAAAGCAAACAAAGGGGGTCTCGTACACAGACACGTGGCATGGTATAGCATCACCTGCTCCCTTCTGGGATCCGAAGGCCAGCTGGCTCTTATTTTAAACAGTGCGATCTTCGTATAACTGCACCCTTGAAGAAACCTGGTTCCGGGGTTACGTGGCAAAATATTTCTCCCTAAAAGTAGAACAAATATGTTACAACCATACATCATCTAAAAATATAATCAACATCCAATAGTCAAAATGAGTTTCTCATCTTAAAACATATCCTCAGCAACCACCCAACCCGAAAAATTTGTCCTTTTAAATTTTGAAATAATAACTCTTCAATTTTACGCCAAATAAATAAATTTTCACATCGATATCGTTTAAAATTAGGTTCATTATAAAATACAACTTTACTACTTACTTAACTTACAACTTACAACTATCGTATGACCTCTCATGTTTCACTCGCTCTTATGCAGTATAAACATACAATAGACCTTATAATTGTGTACTGATCATTTCCTTCTTTATAAACAGTGTTATTTATAAATTTTTTGTAACAAATCACCCATTTTACAAATTTTGGTAAGATTTCTGAACAATCTGCCATACTAAATCAGTCGGACGCTTTGAACTTTTACGCTAAACCATTGAAGAGCTTTGCGATGCTTGAGCCATCCACTCGAGATGGAGGTCGAGGGGGTAGAGAAAAGCAACGTCGTCAAAAGAAGATGATTAATATTGGCACGCCCCAATTCAGCACGATAACTTGTAAAGAGAACAAGGCACCAATTAAATCCAAGTGTAAACGCCAGGTCGTGCAAAAAAAAAACACAACTTTATTTGCATTTGAATCAAAGAAGATGAACAGACATGAAAAACGAAAGACACTAATTCAATGGCGTGTTTTTCAAGACAATGACACAATTTTCTTCCTGATTCCATACTAAAACCCAATAAAATATTAATAAAAAGTACATATTAAATAAATTAAAATAAATTCCAGTAACACAAGGGGCTTAACGTTCAACTACCCGGCAATGTAGCGGGCGAGAAGTCAAATTTAAATAACAAAGCTTTCCGAAATATTGTTAAAAAGCATGTCAAGTAAGTTGGACGAATGTTTTTTACTATGGTAAGATTTAAAATTGGTTAAAAAAAACACTGCCCACCTGTTTTTGCACGAAAAAATGACCAACTTTGGAAATGCGTATTTTCTCAGCTTTCTTTTTAATGTTTTCCCAAGTTCAGTAATTCATTAGTAAATTCAAAAATTCAGGAACATGTTAATTTTTGCACTTTTTACGGAAACTTCAAATTGAGATTTGGAGCCAGGAAATCGACCTGGAGTGGTGGACCGATAGCAATCGATAGGAAATTTTAATAAGCTTTCAGTTGGCCACTTTTCACATTGCTAATTCCCCACCGTTTTCGAGTATTCGCGATTTTTTTTGGCAAAAACGTGGTTTTTACGTGCTCATGGAAAATAAACACTCTCTCTCTCCCCGTTTTCGTAAAAAGTGCAAAAATTAACATATTCCCGAATTTTTGAATTTATTGATGAAAGACTGAAGGTAGTAAAACATTTACAAACCATCTTGTTCAGCGTAAAATTTTCTAAAAATTGAGACTTAGAGCCGGTCTGTGGCTTAAAATGGTGAAAAAATATCCATTTCCAAAGTTTGCCATTTTTTAATTTTTTAAAATTTTGTTACGATACAACAAACCATACAACCATTGAGATCCAATTACAGAATTTAGATTAATGTTAGAAACACTAACTGCTATAAAGAATGAAATCGAGGGTGATTTACAAAACCACCTGTTAGTGGCAATAGGAAAATAATTATATTTTGTTTCAAGTGGCAATAATAATCTATTTAAGAAAATTGAAAAGCTAATTAGTTATTGTTTAATTTTTCAAATGAAGCCAAAGTTGGTTAATACATTTTTTTCATTAATATCCATCCAGGAAAGGAATTTTCGTACGTGTTATTGATCTTCTGTTCTTGTTGTTCTTGTTAAATTTGCCACAATAAATTAGTTATTTTACGGTTGAACAGAACCATTGATGGGCTGTGTTCCGTTCGTTGTCTTTTCTTGGCATCTTTTCTTAAATAAAGAACCGCTGAAAACCCTGCAGCACATATTTCCTTGATGTCTCCACAAACTATCAAAAGAATTATATAAAACTCAATAGAGATGTAGGAATTTTTGGCGCTAGTGTAACAAAATATTTTGGGGAATCGGTTGCGAGGAATTTACCACTGATATTATTTTGCTTTGTGTATTGTTTTTATTATTTGAAAGTTAAGAGAATCTTTTCAAATTTTTGTTGAATTAAATCAATTCTCTTGTTCAAAAATTCCATTTTTAAACAAGAGAATTGATTTAATTCAACAAACATTTGCAAAGATTCTCTTAACTAATATTATTAGATAGATATACACACTTTTAATGATAAATGTGTACATAATTTAAAAATATTTAACAAAAGTACTTAGCGTGGATGGAAAATCCGTCTGCAGGAGGTTGTTGCCAAAATGAATCATTGGTCCTTAGAATGGTAACAGTCGTTTAGATATAAAATAAAAATACTGATACATTAAATAAAAATGTATAAAATAAAATGGGCTTAATCACGTACAAAGCAAATTCCAGGGGAAACTTATGCAAAAGAGGAAACATGCATAAGAGTTCAACTAAAATTAAATAAAAATTAATTATAAACACTATTATGGAAAAGATAAGCTCCTAAAAGCAAAACTTATTATTTAAATAATCAATCAATAGCAATTCGTAAACCTGATCTACCTTTCATAGCGTTGCCAATTAAGAAATAATAATTTTGCTTCTAATATTCTACGAATGATTTTGGTATATCTCTTCTATAAATATTCTATTCGCGTCTATCTCAATAATAGAAATTATATTAAAATTAGTTTAAATACATGTATTCCATGTGTTATCGTGTCATAAACAACTGAACAAATACATACGGACGATGCTTTTTCTTAAAACATCAGCACGTAAATATCGCATATTTTCCGCGCAGTCTGAGTCATTTTATGTAACTTTGATTGATAACTCACCTTAAGCAGATTTAGGTTTATAAAGGTTTGATGCGGTTGATCTAAACCAGATCTTCGACCCAATGATCGTATTCAAGGAGAACTGATGTCCTCAGTTGTGTCTTTCATCAGGAAGCACTTTGTTGAACGCCCTTTGTCAGTTTACTCGGAAATGAAACGAAAAGTCAAAAGCCCCTGTCTAAAATTCATTGTCCTTGGCTCGATTCACGGGATCTTCCCATTTTCAATTCATAGGCGTGATCGTGTGTATTTCACCTTTGGCCGGTTCAGGATATATCGTGATACCGGTTGGCCCAATATCTGATCCGACTGCACACGGAAACTATTGAACTACACCAACATACTCGATAGGTACACAAAAACTAAGCTAAAAACCAAACAAAAACATTGCAACGGATATTGTAAATATAAATTATACACAAGTTGGAATATGGGGATAACATTCCGATAATTATTAGTACATCCTTTTTGAGTTGAAATTAATTGATTATGCAAGTATTAATTACATATTAGCCATTTGTGTTTACAAATTATTGAAGCACAAATGGGATATGCTAGTGCATTTATAAATAACTTATTATTATTCTTCATGTATAGTCATGTGCGTTTCTAAAATATTTCCGTAACTAGCTTCTCGATGCATATAAATTGTATAAATTATCTCATTATAGATTTTTAACCCGGTTTGATTTTTAAATTAATTATATTATTAGTACATAATGGTAAATCTAAGTGTTAGTTTGGATATATGAACACTGTATGTATAAAAGGTATACATTATCTGCTTTATAATATTAAATTTATACAAATTACAATTTATTGCAAAATAGGTAATGTATAGAATTGTAAATAGTTTGGACAAAATTATTTTAACAATATATTTTTTTATCGACACAAAAACATTTTAAGCAAAAAGACTATCAACATTAGCAGATTTTGTACATGCTAGGCTAGTTAGCATAGGACCTTACTGATATATGTTTACAAAGCATGATAATTAATGCTATAGTTTCAAATATTGAAAGCAATTTATTTAAAATATCAAATGGCATAATGTACGTTGAATAGCTCAACTTCGCTTTTTAAATGAAGTCTCCCACACTTCACCTTAGTAATATAAAAGCGCAATTTTTTCCTTGAAAAAAAGTGCCCTACATATTTTGAAGATACGCTTGATAATAATACTTTATATTTTTACTATAGTGCCATTTTCAGCCTAACATTAGATCTAAATAAGTCGATCAATATGTGGATAGGCAAAGAAACATTACGGCCCTCAACAAATATAACATATATTGTTGTTTATAAAGCAGGCACTGAGCAAAAGAAATTCCTTACTCAGAATTTTAAATCTGCCCTTAATGTATGTTTATGTAATCTCAATTAAAATATGAATTTCAAATTTTCCTTTAATGTAATCCACTGTCAAAATTTATGTTATTACCATAGTATGTAAATATGTCGTTATGTTTCTTTTCTGTATTAAGACGGTAGTTGAAGATATTTTACTTTATTTATTTTGTTTTCTAATTTACTTTATTTACTTTATTTTAGGGAGCGAAAAAATTGTGGTCTGAAATAATTTGTTCTTAATTCTTAACTCAATGTTGAAAATAAATAAATTTAAAAAACATGTAAGAAACCAAACCAGATTCATTCGTTCAATATTAAATAACATTAATATAACCTTAAACAGTTATTATAATTAAAAATTATATTTTTACGGTATTATATATTTTTAATGAAATTTACTAAAATATACATTATTAAATAAAAATATACTAAGATTGATCAGCTTATGACAAAAGTTCTTTGTGGATATAATAATACCAAGAAGGAGACGTTTGAAGTTGGATAAGCTTCATTTTTCTTTTATCACCAAATAATTATCGTCCTTAGTCCTTCTTACAAGGAGTATCTACGGAAATGGTTTCACCGATAATAACACCTTTTTTGGTGACAATATATCGAAAAATATTAGACTCGAGTGCAAGATTCTAGCGTATTTTTCGGAATTCATAAAAATAGTGATAGTTTTTAAAAAGACTCTACTGATCCACAAAATACTGTACAGGTATATTAGAACCATATACAGTGCAAGTAATAGAATTTGACTTCCATAACTAAATTTGAATTGGAGATATAAAATAGAACGTTTGAGGAGTTTTTTCTTTTTATTATTCCCACTGAGAAGGCAATCAAATCAAACCGGTATTTGAAAAGACTGGAAGAGGAAAAATTAAACTTTCTAACGGTAGGAATAACGTTGAATTTGGATAAAATCCAGAGTTGTTATGAAATTTTTAGTGAACTACCGAACATTGCGCGAAAAACAATTTGCCCCCGGCGAATCCTGCCAAAACGTATCTTTTGTTATTACGGGATAATTTTTTTAAACGGTGCTTAAAACGAATTGACTTTTTTTTTTTAAACGAAAATTTTTATTCGCTTACTTCACTACTAAGCGCCTTTTGGGTATTGTACATACAAGAATAATCTGGATAACGGTATGGTCATTATGAAAAAGCAAATTCCATTATTACTGCCAAGCTTTCTACCCGTTTTAAGGGCTCATCAGAGTCATCTTAAATATGTGTACAAATTGAAATAATTAATTTAAAAAATACCTATTTAGATCGTTATTGTCCTTGGTAATGTTGGGATGGAGTCGTTATTCTAAGAACTTTGAAATTGTCTATCATAAACGTAATTATGTCAATTTGTAGACATATTTGAGATTAATAGGTCTTAAAATCGGTCGAAAACTTGATAAACAATTTAATTCGTTTTTCATGAAGACCAAACCGAGTTGCAGTTTATTTGTTTCTAATGCCTGCAAAATGAAAACGTTAGTTTTCTCAAGTTTTCTTTTTGTATTTTTATTAGTTTAATAGACATTGTAATACACCAAGACCGGTAAAATGTTTCTGGTATGTGGCCAAAACTATGGCATTACATTTGCTTTTTGTTCCATCTAATAAAAGTTGACATTTTCTTTTACCCCCTGCTGTCCCAGTTCCAACTTTTCAATTTAATACCAAAAAGAAAGAGCCTTACGCACAAAAATGTATGAGGGTGTGACGAAATGTTAAGGACTTTATATTGTACCTTTTATCATTGACAAGATCAACGTCACGTTTTGTAACACAGAGATTCGAGACCTTGCTAGATAACTTTAACACCGGCTTTCTAGTCGTATAAATCTCAAGAGATATGTTGTGAAACGGCCTAATTTTAACAAATTAGTAATTTATATTCTGGGTAACATAAAAAAAACTAAGAGGCGTTATGGTCTTGGTTAATAAACCTACTACTTTCCAACGAATACAAAAATCTGATATCTTTCTCTGCACAACAACTTTCATTGGTTGTTTACAAAATTTCAGTTAATTGTGTTTGAAGTATGCAATGTTTCATAAGACCATTAAAAAGATTTGTTAAATGTTATTGTTCTCTTCAAAGTGTACATTCTTTACCTGCCGAACCGGGCACGCAAGAATGGCCAGCACGAACACTCCTGTAATTATCAGAAGAAAAAGAGCTCCTTAAATCTAAGTCATGCTCGGGGAAGTTTAAAAGTTATACGCTTTATTAAACTAAGTAACATTTTAAGTCCTCGCCTTTTTAAGTATTTGACTCGGAAAGCAATGTGCTAATTATCTTGAGTAAAAGCTAAATAATTTTTTTTGTTGCATGGACATTTATTATTATATTAGATTTATTTATTGATATAGAGTGAGCTGCGTTTAGGAGCAATTTTCTACCTGGCTTGTAGATGTTCCTACCAATAGCGAAAAAAAGCAGACCAGATCAATTTCCGACAGATGATCTGACTGCCTTTTTATCACCTGGCCGCTAAGTACCATAATAGTACTATTTAAACTAGGGGCAAGGTTTACAAAATAACAAGTACGTCGATTTGTTTAACCGAAGAAAGCATTTAACAGTACATATCCCGATCTGCAAGTTGATGGATCGTCCTACGACTAATTGACACATTCCTCCCTTAAATCCACTCTAACAAGACATGTCTCTACTTCTAGTTAGAAGCGAATTATAACCTCTGTCATGTTTTAGAGAAATAAAATTGATCATTGAGCATCACTTAATTTATTACCACCTACTCAAATTGGCACGGATCCTATTGGATTTTTATTTCAAGCTGGACTTATTGTTTTAGTTATAATCATTGAAATCATTGAACGAATTTACATGAGCATTACAACAAAACGCACCCATATCTGGTCATAGGCCACCTATATTTTTCTCATCTATCTTTCTTTAATTATTCATTCTATCTTCTTATATTATTTTGTTCTGATTGGCAATATTGTGTTCCAGTCAGTATATATCTTGACCCATACTTTCTAGTGTATTATAATAATTTATAATGGGATAGTTTCACTTCTTTTAGATTTTGCTGATCATATCATTCTGAGCTTTTCATAAATATTTTCTTCTAGAAATATGACCAATGACTGTAAATACCTAGTAATCGTTTTACCCTATTTAAAATCTGGCCTACTTAGTGTGCTTTATCACACTGTACTTTTTTGCTTCCACAGTTTTTGACGATAAATAAGAGAGAAAAACATAGATTGTCTGTATAACATCTGAAATCTACAGATAAAAATATTTTTGATTTGCTCGGGGAAAGTTTTTTTTGTTGTCTCACAATAATTTTATAAAATTAGACAATAAACGTTTTTACTAACTTTCCACTAACATTCCACTTTGAACCATTTAACTTGTATATATTTTGTCCACCATTGTTCAGTCTGCGCAAAACTTTCTACGGTACTGTAGGAGGATTAACCTCTTGTTTGGGACTTGTTTTCCCCATTTAATAGGAATGAGAGTTCAGAAATCGAGGCCTTTAACCCACGGTAGTTTCCGAAACGCCCACGGACGACCGTATTGCCGTAACGGTACCACCGCGTAATCATCATCATGTGGTCAAAAGGAAAAATTTAAACGGTTTAGTGAAAACAATAAGAATAATTTAAGTTGTTATATGCAAATCCAAACATTTTGCTCGTTGACACAATCGGCCGAGTTTAGTTGTAAAAGAGGAAATGATGTCTGCAAGAACGGATGTACACAACGAGTTTGAAAGTGTAGATACGTGCCTTGAAAACCCGAAATTCTTTTATGAATAAAGGATGATAAACGAAGCTTTCTAAAAAAATAAAAAATAAAAATAAAAAATAACTAAATTGTCAAGCAAATCAAACTCTCAATGATATTTAAATGTTTTTACATCGTTAGATTATTAGGATCTACTAGGATCTAAACAGTAATGACCATGTAGTCCGTTCGAAAGGAAAAATAATTACTCAAGAATGTAACGAATAATAATGGTGACACTGCTTGTAACTAATTTCGTTCTAATCTTGTCAATACACGTACACTTGTAAAAAAAGTTTTATAGGAAAACATTCGTCCCATTCTTTTTGTACCAAAACCACATCGAATTACTTAAGCCGTTAATCCAGTTAAGTGCTTCCTGGTTGAAAACATTCCTAACCACCTTTAGGATTCGAAAGAAATTCCATCATTTATAAGGGATGATGATGAGAATATGTATATTTTTGGCTTTATTTTTATATTTATTATTATTATATTATTTATTTTTAGAAAACAGTTTATTTTTATTAATCCCACTTTTTGTATATGAACACCGCCGCGAGAGATAATGTGCCGAACCATTGTTTCGTATCGTACAGTATATATATTATTGTGTACGACTTTAAGTTGTAAGACATTATATATTCTTTATTTATTTAAATCGAGAGGTAAAGTATTAAATAAATACTTTTGAATTTGAATTGTATGGACATCAGGTGTGTAAGTACAAAGAGAAAAACAATAACAACAAGGAAATAGCTATGTAAATAACAAGCATATATAGGAAAAAATGAAATATCTAGATTAGATAATAAAAATATTAAAAAAATAAATGATTTTCGATTTTATTATTTCTATTGTAAATTATTGTAGAAAAAGTATTTCCATTGTTGACAATAGAAGATTTGCAAGTGAAACAGTGATGTAGTTTCTTTTAAATTTGTAAAATGCCAACTTTTGAAGTTTTAGTTTGTATATGTAATTTTATAAACATTGTAACTTTTTGTTTTCACTCTCTCTCCCCCCTCTCGCTCCCTCTCTCACTCTTTCTTTATAATTCATTAAATGTATAAAACCATCTATCTTAAATCTATAAAACGTTACAATAATTTAGCCAAAGTCATAAAATCATGTAAATCTAAACGTATTTCTAAGAAACATCTAAAAGTTTTTCTCTCACTAGATTATGCTCGATCATACTCTGTACAACATCAAAAATATTTAAAAATATATGTAGACAGTAAAAAAATTATATTTGTATTATACGTATTTTGTTTTTTGAATTAGGTAAACTTTATTTGCATGTAGGAATGCCCGTCGACCGGTATGACCTATAAGGCTGGTCTGCCAAAAAATAGAAATACTGCGACCTATCTCCGTTATCTTTCTATAGACATGTAAGATATGGGTTACACATATGAAGAACTGAATTTTTCTGGAGGCGGAATAAGTCGTTCAAAGGTCCTTTACGAATTTCGTTAGCACGTTTATTTTCATTTTCAGCAAGCGACTTGTTTTACAGGGAATCTTTCCTATACTGGTTGTTGTTTTGTTGTAAGACCGGCTCGTTACTGTTTCCACCGTAGCATAGTTTACTAGAGGCGATTTATTGTAATTTCATGCTAAGATGAATACTCATGATTTACCAGCCATTGAGTAACAGACGACCGGGTGAAGGGAAACGCGACTTCATATGTGTCAATGGACTCGTACGTGCCGTGCTCGCCTAATCGCTCTACGTGACGTCTCTTCGTTTGACTGCAAGTTGCACTCCTGCCTTCTTCTGCACAAGAAGAGTTTCTAGCACATCCTACTAATCTATTATTGTATTGACTCTTTACCTTTCATATCAACGTAATTACTCTCCTGCTAACTAAATCATACAAGAATTAATGCGACATTTCACAAAAAAGGTTTAGTATATAGGGTACTTTTTTCCTACGGTGCTCCTAAAACTGATTCGTCCTGTGTATATTTTATAGTCTAAACATTAGTCTATTTGGAATCTGGTCAGTTGTACTAATTTTGGTCGGCGCGCTCTCTTCTTCTCTCTTCCACATTCTCTTTCACCACTTAGCCCTGTCTTTTCTCTCTATATTTCTCTCTCTCTCTCTCTCTCTCTCTCTCTCTCTCTCTCTCTCTGTAGCTATCTATCTATCTATCTATCTTTCTATCTATCTACCTTTATATCTATCATCTATCTGTCTACCTATCTATCTACCTGCCTACCTTCCTATCACCCTCTCTCTATATATAACTCTATCTATATTTCTTTCTCTCTCTTTAGTGCTGGATCTGAGGGCAATTTTGCTAGTTCTAAGTGTAGAAACCCGTTGTTGATCGTAGGCTAAATGTAGATGTAAAAAATCGGAAACGTACTATCATGTCCAAATTTAGTTTTTTCTAGTTCTATGTTAGTTATTGTAGTTATTAAGATTTATATTTTATGGCATTTGTATTTTCTCGTATTTTTATTATGATAGGTGAAAACAAAGTGAAATCACGGAAACACCCACAGACATACAGACACCAACACACACACTTTTTCCTTCCTAATTTTTCTCGCTAATTTACTTTATTCTTCTTACCTCCTGTTTAAATTTTTCGTCTTTTTTTTGGGGGGGGGGGCACGTACTGGCTCTAAACGTTTCTCCAACTATATGGCTATATATTCATTGATTAAGACGTGGGAAAATACGGTTTTCTCCCACTTTTTCAGTGCTTCATTGCGATTAAAGATATATCATTTTCGTGAAATGCCAACTAAGAGAGAGAAGTTCCTTCGCCTTCCTTTTTGGGTGATTTGTACATTCACTTGCCTCTACCTTGAGCTTTCGTCCAGTGCTTGGGTTTTTCTTTCTGAAGCCATTTTCCAGCTCTAACGTTAACCTCTTCAGTGCTTCAGTAGAAGAAGACTGCTTCTCCTTTCTCCAGGCGGAACCCTCCTCAATGATAACCTTGTTATGATCTCTTAGGGCTATTATGCAACTTAGGCTGTCCAAGACTGGTTTGGAGTTTAATGTTTTTATGATTGTCCAAAAATATCCGAACACCCTTCATTTACTTCATCAGGACCTGTGGGCAGAGTTGGATTGTTTGGTCCTCAGCTTAGAAAAAGTTGAGACCAGTCCAAGGGGTTCTTGTAGGACCTAGGCCCGATACTCCTGATACTTACTTGCCTTTCTTCCAAAAATCTATGTTATCTATGTCCGCCTAGAATGGTTTTGTAGCCAAACCCTTTCTTGATTGTTTTCCCTTTTTTATTGGTAATATTCTTTCCCCGGATGATTTAGTCAGTAGTGGCTTTATCCCTGACTTCCTGGATAATAATAGTATAATTACTGAAGCTAATATTTTATTATTTGACGATAAGATGAGAAATTACTCTATGCTCGAGTTTTGTGTAATGTTCCTGTTTTGTTATGTTTATTTATTTATTTATTACGCCACATATAATATAAATTTTATTTATCAACATTAAGTAGATGATTATTACCAAGATAATTACATTTGATTTGTTGATTCAGATGATAGATAAAAAAGAAACACTTATCTTGCTTGTTAAAATTATTAAGATTATTCACTTACATTTGAGTAAGAACTTTTAAAAAAGTGCAAGTACAATATTAATAATTTTGTTAACTTCTTTTCTTTGGCTATTTCTTGAAAACTTGAGCAGATTAATTATGTTAATTTACTTAAAAAAAAGATGAACGTTGGTTAATTCGAAATCAATATAGGCTCGGCCTCTCTCACACTTGTTCTGTGACTCAACAGAAATTGACGCTGTGAATGTCAATCCGACGGATCGTTAACCATCCGCACTGAGGCTATCATTCATTCCGAATAAAAGGCTGAAGTGTACTACTTGACCAGAACGGGGCAGGGCGCCTGGTGCTAATCCCTCGTTTCCCCCATCTTCCTATCAATCAGACGCTATAAATCAGTGACGGAATTATTCCACCCCTCTAATAATTAACTCACTCGGCTGAAAACCGACAATTGTCGGTAATCGTCACTCAGTCTTGGGAGACAAGTAAAAACTGCTGATTGAAGTTTATTGAGCCGTCATTTATTCTTATTGGGCACCATATGGGTACAGGTTTGTACAATTGACCAGATATTTATGATATTTTCATAATTGATGCATGCATGATATATGAATATTGTAAGTCAATTTACAATACTTTTTAGAACCTAAAACTATTATTCCATACCAAATAAAACCACAAAAGAAAATAGACATTTGAATCAATCATACATATAAATAAATGGACTACCATTGTTTTGCAGGTATGTTTTTTCAATGGAAAATTGGTAATTTAACAAAAAATATCAATCATGTAAAATTACTTTAACGTTTGACTACTTTAACTGACCAATTTGACGTGGTTAAATTTTAGGAAATGATTTTTAATTTTTTTTTTTGCTAAATTGAATTTATGTTTGTTTTCAGGTAAGTCGGGTTCTGAAGATAATTATGATCGTAGAGTAAGTTTACTTTTACTACTTTGCTTTAATTGTGACAAATGATAGAGAGAATTAAATCAATGAAAGGTACATTTTTAAAATTATTGATGTGATCTGAATTGTTGATGTGGCAGGTAGAGTAAAAGAGAAAAAAAAGAGAGAGGGAAAGAAAACAGACAGAAGGAAAGAGTGTGTTTGTGTATGTGTGAGTGAGTGAACGGATGTTGTTTATGTTTACGTTACAAACGTATAAACGTTTATCTATTTCATCAAGAAGCTGGATAACTTTTTTCCTTTCGTTCTAACTAATACAATTAAATGTGAATTTGAACAGAAAACTTATTAGACGATTTTTAAATACAACCACCCTGGCAGGTTAAGTAAGCAAATTTATAATGTAAATTGCGTACAACTGACATGGAAACAGTTTTACCTCTTGTGTCCCAGTTTCTATTTAGAAAATTTAAGCATAAAAAACCCACTTAAAAAACATTTAACAATGTTACTATTTTAATTAAATTGATAAAAATACAATGCATTTGGAAAGATTTTATCGATAGACGATTTTAAACCTAAAAAGTACCAAAAAAAGAGATTTTAATTAATCATGTCCAATGACCAATGATATGAATATTATATCTGATATTTGTTATAAATTAAAATATCACAATTTTATCAATGCAAGCAGATTTGAAACAATTGTTATCTAAGTTGACTAAATTAAAATTTAATTATTAATGTATTGATTTGAGTTTTTAAAGACTTAAAACTATATCACTTTTATAATGTCATCACGATTGAGACTCTAAATGTAGTGTTATATAATTCAAAAGTTATAATAAAAGATCAAATTTTACTTTTAATTATACTTCTTCCTGTTGTTAATAACGTTTATTTTCAAATTTTGAAGGTTGAAACTTGTGAAATTTTGAAATTCCTCCCTATTGGTCCGCTGCCAAACGCATTTTTGTCTATTTTCTACAATACAGAATCCTCTTAATGTTGAAAAAATCTAATATAAATCATACACTACAATTATTGGTAATTGCTAGATTATAAACTCGAACGATATTTAGTCATTTCCCATTTATTAAAATTTATAAAATAAAAGAAGTAGCCTCATGTGAGAAAAAGTGTTAGTTGCTATCATAAACTTAAAAGCAATATAAGATAATTAATATTGCATTTAATATAACTTTATGCATCACTTTAAGTTATACAGATACGGTTTCTGCGTTTTTAAAAATTTGCCTCTAAAATATGAAATTAGGGGATATTTTCATTGCAGAAAACGTATATCGCCTTTGCTTCTTACTAGATAAAAAACCTACTTTGCTAAACATGAAAGAAATCAACATGCCGGAATAAATTTGAGATATATTTTGAAATCCAATAAATAATTATTTTCTGACCGAGCCTAAACGTAAGAATCGAAATGTAAGTAAAACTTTTTTTAGCCAGGAACAAATTTTTTAGACGCTTTTAGGAAGAAAATTCTTGCGATTTTGAACAAAGTTGAAAAGAATTTTGTATTCAAATAAATATTTGAATTGCTAAAAAAATTATTTACTTATTATCACTAACAAATTTTCATGGAAATCATCAGCATGTTCTCAGTTTCCTCTCACACAATTTCCCGACAAATCGTAATTTATCGCTTTCCATAACTATTGTGTGTGTCTATTTAGCGGAAATTAAAAAAAAGCAAGGTTTCATACAATTATTGAAATTTTTAATGTTATGTCCTGTTTCAAAGTTGTTAAACTCTGAATTTTTCGAATGCGTCAACGTTTTTACTGCCATGTCTGGTTAACCGAAGCCCCTTGAGAGAAAAGAGTAGGAAACTCCTGTTTCCCTTGAGTTTATTAACTTAAACCAGGGGGTCTTGAATTGAGTTAATCTCAATCTTCCTCATGGATAAGAGACCCTGAACACAAGAGGCGAAAGAAAGAGCTGGCTGTCACTAACGATACTTTTTAACACCGGCTAATTAACGACTGGGCGGTTGTCTTCATCGAAACCTGGCACTGTACAATTATAAACATCACAGTGGAACCAATCAAGAGGAACAATGAATCATATAGTTGTCCATCTGTGGCCTTTTGTGGGTCACCCATTGTTAAAGTTAAATGTACCGAGAAATGTATAGTGGCCTAGATGTGACGTACCGCCCCCAAGTAAGATTTCGTTCCGTCCCTGTAACATTTTTCTTTTATAAAAAAACTAACTCAGAAAGGTTAAAGTCATTTAAATTGATAATACCTTTGTCAAGATAAAAAATGATTGATTTTTAAGATAATTGTGCTAACGATTTGAAAATAATTTGATTTTATCATCGTTGTTTGACACATTACATTAGACTTGAAGTAATGATTAATTAGTTATCCGGAAGATGCTTATTATTTTTTGTGTTTTATTTTTCTTATTCTAAATTTTAGTTAAATTAACATTACAAAAGATTCTAATATTTGGCTGGAACAAAACTCATCCTGGTTTTGAAAAGGAGTCAAAGTTATTTTTAATTTTTATAAAACGAACAAAATTTATCCGAAATATATTTCAAGACAATCTACACATCTTCTCCAAGGTATAATAAGCGCTTTTATTCCGCTGACAAAAAATGGTTTATTCCGATTTACAATAAAGTCTTGGAAGGCGTTTTCGGCTTCACTTTCTCTAAAAATTTTATCCTTCATGAAGTGATCAAAATGCCTAAAACGAAGTCTGTAGGTGAGAGGTCGGGCGAATATGGAGGGTGCAGTAAGGTTTCATATACTAAGTCCTTAAATTTCCGCAGGGTTGACATTGCCACTTGTGGCCTGGCGTTATCATGAAGAAGAATCGGCTTACAGTTTACCAATGCTGGACAAAGACGTTTTAGTTCCGGTGCATTCTGTCAATTTCTTGGCAATATTTCTCTGCTGTGATAGTTTTACCACAATTCAGGAAAGTATAGTGAACAACCCCAGCAGTACACCACCAGTCACAATAACCTTTTTTGGGTGAACGTTTGGCTTCGGGAAGTGGCCTTTCAACCTTGTCCAACTAACCTGTTTGCCTCCTGTTATCGTAGAGAATCCATTCTCATCGCATTCGATAGAGAAATGGATCATTTTGGTGGCGCAACAAAAGAGACTTGCAAATTTCAAAGCGTCGATTTCTTTGCGCTTCGGTTAGTTCCTGCGATACCCACTTGAGCTTAATTTACCAATTTCGTCCGAATGGCGAACAACGGTTGATTGGTCAGCACTAAGTTCTTCCGCAATTTCCCTGTTGTCTTATGTGAATTTTCTTCAATCAACGTTTTGAAATGGTCGTCGTCCACAACGAAAGGCCTACGCGACCTTCACTGTCTTCGAGATCAAACCATCGCAGCACCGTACAAATAAATTTGACCGAAATCTAGTTTGGATATATTTAATTTTCTCAGGTGCTCACTCTTATAAAATTCAATATAAACTATAATATTTTGAGTACAAGTTAACAGTTAAAGTAGAAATTATAATCCATAAATTAGATTTGAAGATTTACCTTTGTTTACATGACAAGCAGCTACGAAAATAACACAAATTCAAAGCCTGCGTTAATTTTGCAGCAACCCAATATTTAACAAAATATTTACAAACTGTCCTCAAACCTTTAATTACTAAGGCCAATTATGGATATACTCAAATATTTTTATAAGTATATAACTCATTATTGTGTACAAATTTTCCAATTATTGGAAAGTGAAAATAATGGCGTTTGTTCACACTCGTTTGCCATTGGCTGAAGGGATGAAATCAGGTTATTTCGCACTCCCACAAGAGAAGTGGCACAACTCGAAAAATTATAATACCGGATTATTTAGTTTTTTGAAGTATTTGTGTGTGTGATGAGTGGTTAGCATGAGAGACTCTCACGCCGCGGTCGTGGGTTCGATTCCCACCGTCGCCTCTGGCCCTTTTATCACAATAACCCCCCCAAATTTGAACACACATATATGAATTGTCACATGGCTAATATGCATAGTTCATAACGCAAAAAAAAAAATTGGATGTGTGATGCTACAGGAAAAATGACACAACTGTAGATGGACTGATAGCTGCTAGGCATTGAAAATATCGTATCAACCTAGCGTACGAAGCATGTCTTGGAGAAACGAATATTGATGGATCATGAAGTTTTTATACGATGCAAATTCTGTGCATTTGGAACTCTCAGCCATTTTGAAATTGGAAAGATTGATAGTGAGTGAGTGGTATTGGCGTTACGTAGTAAGTTGGAAGATAAAACAAATACCAATCGGTGGGTTATTGTTTGGTTGTTTACTTTAAGTCGTAGGCAAGATAAGACAAAAATAAAAATAAATCGAAAATTTTAGACGCTAAAAGAGGAACACTTTTTCACTTTTCACAAAATCTATTCAGGACCCTAAATGTCTGGAAGGTTCATAGTTCTTTACAAAACGGTAGGTACAATTGTTGAGCAATTTGACGATTATGATCTCCAAATAAATTAGTAGAGTTGAAAATTAATCCTGATCATTACCGAGTTTTACCGAGTTAAGTCATTACGGGAAATGGTCATCATTGAAACGGTCGTTGCAAAATATCGTACAGCATCGTCTAAGCTTGAGAATGTTGAATTTAA